GTCTGACACCTTCAGAAGCCATCAAGTTCAAACACATGGTCCATGCTTCTTCCAAGCCCTGTACCCTTCTTCTCTTCATGTCATGATCCCTGTTACATGGTTTCCTACTGGGTGGTCATCCCACCATCAAGGAATGTTTGTTTTTCTAAAGAATCAACTAGTCATCTTAAGTTGGAGGCCCAAAGTGAAACCCTCTGGCCTGTTCAAGGTCTGTATCTTCAGCATCTCTGGCAACAGAGTTTCAATCTAAACATCCTCTCTTGAAGTCCTCAATTGTACCACACTATTCAGAGTGGAGTAAGAAGGTGTGACCATCATCATTGGTTCTTAAGGAGTGGATCTCTCTGGTCCATGTCTCCAAATGCTGCTGCTTAGCCCAGGAAATGAAAAGTCAGCTGACAAACACAAAAGTGACATTAAAAAATCCAACAAGAACAACGAAAACCTTAAACCATTAAATGCATGACTAGGATTGTTGGGATGGGCCAAGGCATCATCAATGGAGCAGTACTGTCACCTTCAGGGCTGCCCACGTTTGGGAAAGGAGTTGTCTTCAACCCTGTCTGGCCATTCTCAGAGGACCCAACAGCGACAGCTGAGGACCTTGGGTGGGCATCCTATTCTTCTTGTCCACCTGAGCTCAGTGTGACCTGGCCACAACAGCTTGCCTGCCTTGGGTACAGCCGACTGCCAACAGAGCTGGGCTGCCCAGAGGGAGGCTTCGGGAGATCACACCAGCTTAGAACTTGGCATTATTCAGAGCTCATCAATCTGTTACCCCAACCAAAAAACACTGCTTCATACCAAGCATTCTGCCATCTGGTAGTTTCATAATAATCACTTTTCTGTTTTATGAAGCTGCTTTTCCTACCATCCAAACGTTGTCCTGAGTCATAAGAAACAGGCTGGAAGGAGAGGCCAGTGATGGCCATGAACAGTCTTCCATCTTCCAAGGAGGAAGCTTCGTTCCAACCGGGAGTCAAATGTTATCCCCTAAAGGAGACCTGGGTGGTCTGGGTCTCAAACAGCTCAAGTTCAACAGTGTCTCCACAACACACCAGCTCCTGCTGCCTCAGGGAAGGGTCGTGTGGGAGACTGTCTTAATGCTCACATCAATTGAATGATGTGCCTCAGTGGTTCACGTTACTTCAAGCAGTATGAGCTGCTATCAGAAAGGTGGTTGCATGGAAAATGCCACAACTCAGCTTGCTATGATTATTTGGAGCATACAAAAGAGGAAAAACCAGGTAGAGGCAAGAACAGCATGAAAGCAGGCTAGAACTGTGAATACATGATGCCTTGCAATAGTCAAGGTGGGGCTGGTCCAGTAAGATGACTGTACCATCACTCAAGCAAATATTCTGTTTTACTGAAGTGTTTCTGAAGCATTTGTTATGATGATGGGCACTATACTGTTAGTATTTTCTCTCTATTTTAAGGAAAAACCACCTACACAAAACAAAAAACGACACCAACAACTTGGACAGTTTAAAAACAAAACAAATAAAAAAAAAACAAACCCTTAAAACCAGCTGAATGATCTGTGGAAATCCAGTTGTGGAGACCGGTAGGTATGTGCAAAAGAGGGAAGAGGCCACTATTCCAAGGGGTCACCTACAGTGTGGAAGAAGAAAACCCTGATCAAACAGTAAGTATCTCTCAGTGACCCTCTGGTTTCCCAGGGACTTGGAGAAGGGCAGCATTCTGGCAGGAAGGAAAAAAATTCCTGCACTTAACTATAGAACTGAACTGTTAAGCAGCCATCCACACTTGGGGAAAAACCACCTACTATGTTCCCCAGCTTAAGTCCCCAGGGCCCGTGAGAGTAGCTGCTGGAAATAAGGAGCACACCGTCCACCCTTGTGAGCAGCAGTATGATGGGATGGACGGAGGCACAACACAGGGAAGGCTGGGCACCGACCACTGGCCTTCCAGCCACAAGGTTTGGTCAGTCCTTGTTTAGCCCAGGGAAAGGAGGAAGAGGAGGAGGAGGAAGAGAGGGTGAGGTGAGAGAGCAGCCTGCATGGGGCGCAGCCTTTTCTCTGCCCCTTTTATCACACTGGCCTTCTGTCAGGAGCAGAGGCTAAGGGTCTCTAACTGCTGACATGGCTGCACCTTTGAAAGGAACCAATATAGTGGTGTTGTGTACACACATTGGGACTCATAAACAGCCTGTGTATAAGCACCTTCCTGTCCTCGAAACCTGGAAATACCTGCTCTTCCAGGGAGGATATCTGTTGGTCATTCAATGTGCACAAAGTTTTATTCTGAAGCCAGACAGTCCCAGATGGCTAGGTGACCACCATGGCATGCTCTGGTAACTTCCTTGGGCTCATGGGCGCATTGGGCTGGGACCCAGGAAACCCTAACACTTCCAACCTCTGAGGGAACCAGGTAAGGAAAAAAAAGGGCTAAAGGAACATGAGAGAAGGTATTTCAGAAAAGGTGAGCTGTTGGAGAGGAGTGCGAGTGGGTTAGTGTTGCTTTGACTCCGGAATACAGCCTGGCCTCTCCCGTATTACCTGGTGTGTGGCCTGTGGTGTGGATGAGGTTACCAGTATCAATGGCCTGTTGTCAGGTACTGAGAAGTGTGAGATGTATTCTTTTTTTCTATATACACATATAAAAAATAAGAGTGAGGTAGATAAATGTTTGAAAAACAACAAAAAACACCCCAGAAAACAAAAACTGTCCCACCTTATACACACACTCACACAAACCCTTTCCTCAGTATTTAAATTCATAATGGGGGCTTCTCTACAGTGATTAAAACTGGTTATCACAAAATAAATTAAAACTTCTACATATAATACCTTCTTAATGAACTTTCTTCTTTTCATTAGGGGAAAACACTGTGGGGCAGAGGCTAGTGAAGTTATGGGCCTGAAACAACTGACAAGCCAAAGAGCATTGCGCGCTCCCTTTGCTGAGTTTAAGCTCCAGTCACAACTGGCAACCATCATCTTTCAGCTTGGTTCTTACTCATAATTCAAACATTTCCACCCAGAAGCAACTTTTGTGCTGTCATCACTCTGGTGAGAAGTACTAAGAACTAAACAAGACCCCCGAGCCTCAAGGACTAGGATTCCTGGCTAAGGAACAGCACGCACCAGGGCCAGGCTGTGGTCCCCTGGGTGTGAGCAAAGGGGCTTCAGGGCCACCAGAGGATTAGCTCTGCCCCGACCATGGTGGTATTGGGGGCCCATATCCCACACACATGGAGGTCCCGAAGGTCCCTTAGGATGCTCTGGTTCTAGAGACGGGTAGGTTGGTCTGTTGAGGGTGGTGGTAGAGGGTGGTAGAGAGGCTGCTAGGCCATGCTCTGCTCTACCCTGGGACTCAGCAGCTGTTTTTTGTGGGATGGAAGGATTAAATATCCATTAAAAAAAATAGTAATCCAAATGCCTAGTGTCTGCAGTTAAAACTGCTGTTGTACCCAAGAATTAAAAAAATATAGATATGTCACAAGCAAAACAAAGAGGGAAAAAGAAGGTGCGACTTTCAACAAGAAACACCGGACCAGGATGTGTGAGATATTCAACCTTTTTGTTTCTGACCTGAGTTTGCATCATGCCTTGCGCTGTGACAGACTCCAATGCTGTGTGCAGGGAGGCATGGGAAGTAGAGTGCTGCCCAGGAGGACCAGGGCTGGGCCTCCCATCCTCCTCATTCCCTCACCAGCGTCGTGCCCACTGGGCCTATGGGTTAGAAGACAACAAACGGGGCTGCAGGGAGCAGGGGAATGGGGATGTATTTATAAAAAGGCATCAAACAGTTCATGGCAAATTATGTTCTAGAAGTATCAGTTACTGGGAGAAGAGGAAGAAAAACCACACTCTAGTACAAAGCATCAGAAGTTTCTTGGAGTGAGCAGAAAGGTAGGAAGGGTAGACCTGAAGGTTTTCATAGATTAAATCCACAAAGATAAAGAACAAAAAAAATAGCAGCTTTTTTTTTTTCTCTGTACAGACGTATAGCTGAATATCTGAACCGTAAAAAAGTTATAAAAGTGACATTAAAGACGATGTGTATGCAAATGTTTCATGGTCTAACATAGAACTGTGAGACCCATGAAGAAGTCCCAGTAACAGAAAATGTCAACAAAGCTTAGAATGTTTGGATCCACTGCCTGGCTGCTTCTTGCTGCTCTGGAGTCTGAATCCCTTCCTTGCACACCTCCATCAACAGCTGGGCTGAGTCCCTGGAACCCTTTCCTGTCTGTGTCCCTTGGGGGCCAGAAAGGAGGCTGTGGCTGAGGGGAAGATGTGGGCAGGAGGACCATCTTGACCGTAGCCTGGCCTCCAGGCTGGCTCAGAGCCATTTCCTCCAGAATTCTTAGGGGGGGGGGGTCAGTGGGTGGGTTGGGGGTAGGGAGCCAGTTCAGCCTTCCCTTTCTTCAAGGAGGGAAAGTTCCATCTTGTCCAGTTCTCCCCAACAATAACCTAGTCATCAAAAGCAATGAGACCCAGGTGAATGTGGACTAGAAAAGCACACAGGGTTCAGTGGAGGCATTAGCAACATGTCTCTCAAAAGGCATTATTAACTGGATGCCCTGTTTCACCCCGTGCCTCAGGATATAAGAATATCAGCATGGGGAGTGAGAGAAAGAACAGAATTTTGGCAAAATTTGGCAGTGTGAAAACGGTAACAACCATGGATGAAAAATGGCCCTTTTTGAATTTCAGATGACCCTAAAAAGGTTAAAGATATAGTAAAAAAACTCCGTCTCAGTGTGTGTATTTTTTTCTTCTTCCTTCTTTTTTTTTTTTTTGTAAAGACCTACGGTGTCAGGCAGGTATATATGGGGGGGGGGTGATGAGGAAGGAAGCCCCAAGGACAGCCATTTCTTCAATTTGATTAAAAAAAAAGGCTTCCCAGCTCGGCTTGCGGCAAATGTTTCTCCATTACAAAGCAGAAAAAGGAGAAAAGAGTGGAAGAGAGAGGGGAGAGGGGAG